TTTCTTTCTTTCTTTCTTTCTTTCTTTCTTTCTTTCTTTCTTTCTTTCTTTCTTTCTTTCTTTCTTTCCTTCTTCCCTCCCCCCTAAGACAGGGTTTCTCTGTGTAGCCATGGCTGTCCTGGAACTCACTCTGTAGACCAGGCTGACCTTGAACTCAGAGAGATCCACCTGCCTCTGCCTCCCTGAGTGTTTCGATTAAAGGCATGATAAAAGCCATGCCCGGCTTTTTTTCTTTTTCTAAGAACATATCCCAGTAGCCCAGGCTGGCTTTGAATTTCCTATGTAACCTTGAGACCCTCAGGGCTCTGTGTGTCCAAGAACTAGGATTATAGGTGTTTGCCTCTGTGCCGAGTCTATGTCCTGCTGGGGATGAAACCCAGGGCTTTGCACAAGATGGGCAAGCACACTAGCAACGGAACTGTACCCCAGAGGCTTGTACTAGGTTAGATATGAGAGGTAAAGGGACCTGAGCAAGGCAAGGTTGGAGCTTTAGCAGCTGGGTGCTTGGGTGCTTGGTGTCACTTAGGACCTGTGAAGACACAGGAGGAAGCAGGTTTGGGGAAAATAGTGTTCTGTTATTTTCTCTTTTTTTGTTTTTTGTCTTTTTCCCAGAACTGAGGCCCTAACCTAGGACAGTGCTCTACCACTGAGCTAAATTCCCAAACCTGAAAACAGTGTTCTGTATTTGTGGAGTTGATCAGAAATGAGTAAATGCCAAACTCCCAACTCAGGTGTCAGCTGAGTAGGGCCACAGGTACCTCCTGAGGATTTCAAGTTGCCTGGAGCTCTGTGGAGGCTTGAATAGGAATGGCCCCTACAGGCCCATATACTTGAATGCTTGGTCATCAGGGAGTGGCACTACTTAACAGGGATTAGGGGGTGTGGCCTTGTTGGAGAAGTGGAGGAGACTGCTGGAGGCGGTCTTTGGGGTTTGAAATGGCTCTTTCTTTCTGCGGCCTGCAGATCCTGATGTAGACTTCTCAAGCTACCTCTCCAGCACCAGGTTTACCTGCAAGCTGCCAGGCTTCCCCCCTTGAAGATAATGGACCAAACCTCTGAAATTGTAAACCAGCCCCTGTTAAATGTTTTCCTTCTTAAGAGTTGCCGTGGTCATGGTGTCTCCTCACTGCATTAGAAGAACACTGACTAAGACAGGCTCTCAGAATCTCAAAAACTGGCCCATCTGAGGAAGGCTCTGTGGCCATGATGTAGAGGTTGGCATACCTTGAAAGGCTCTGTGTGGCAACATCCAAATCTCAAGTTAGTTCGTTCCCTTTACAGTTTGCTTCCAAATAAAGACACAAGAGGAAGAGGGCAAATCATCTTTTATATTTAAAATAAATCAGTTTGTAATTTGTAGAGAGAAGCCAAAGACACTGGAGAAAGACGGGATTTAAGGAACTAGAGGTATTCCACAGCTGGAGCCTCCCAGACACAGGAAAGCAACATCCAGGAGCCTTAAGAGCTCCATGCTGGCTACATGTCTGATTGACAGGGCCACAGCACTGAGGGGGTGGGGCTGGCCCTGAGTAATGAACCGCAGGCTCTTCCTGCTGTCAGGGGTCCCAGAGAGAGAATCCTGCCGTGTCGAGACCCCAGACATCCCCAGAAGGGCAATTAAAACCCATGTTTGGAATATAAAATGAGGGCTTTCAAAGCCTGCTGGTGTTACACTTCCTGCAGGAAATACACAGGTCATTCCTGGCACCTGGTAGGCAGGGCTGTGAAATCGACTCTTAGCATGAATTATTTTATTTATTTTAAAAACTATATTTTTGGTTTATCTTGTAAAGTAAGGCTTGCAAAGAGGCAGGGTGGCTCTCTATGAAAAGCAGGAGGAGGTGAAAATGGAAGGATGAAAGGAGAGGAGAAAGAGGTAGGAAAGGAGATGAAGAAGAGGAAGAGAAGTTTGAGAATGACAGTGGCTTCCTAGGCAGAGGGACGCTGGGAGTAAGGCAAGACTGGTGTTGGCTAACAAAGGGGGGGGGGTCTCGGGGTTCTTATAAAGAAAGTAAGTAGCGAAAGACTTGAATGTGAGGTCCCTGTGGCAAGGGGCTATGTCAAAAGGTGGAGATGCCTTCCTGGAGGGTGGGTGAGAAAAATGAGTTCTTGGGGGATTTTTCTCTGCATCAAGGAGGCACCTGCTGTGGGGAGGGCTAGGGGTGCGTGTAGTTGCCCATGCGAAGGGTGCCCTGGCGCACTGCATACTCTTCCCGGTGGGCTTTGAGAGCTCTCTGGCGGTCGGCCTCTGTGGGGAATGTAGCAAGAGTGGGGCCCACCTGCGGACAGAGGAAGAGACAGGGGATAGAGGCTTGGTCCTGAGCTCTGCCAGCCCTCCCTAGCCTCAATCCTAAAGTAGTAATGAAAGCAGCCGTGGGGGGGGGGGGGAGTGAGGGGAGGCCGGAAAGTGTCCAGTGAAGGCAGCAGGGCCCATGGCTGCCAGATTGTAGCTCTCAGGTTCTTTCCAGCTTATTGCTGAGAAATGTCTCATAGATGTCACCCAACGGTGACTGGAGTTGACATTCACTGACCTGGTAACCTTCATATGGTGATTTTCTACCATTAACACCCCCGCCCCCGACCCCCAAAAAAATGTCTAGAAAGATGGCTCAGGAAGTAAAGGTTCTTGCTGCCATGCCTTACACCCCCAAGGCCCCACATGGTGGGAGTTAAGAATTTGTTCCAGCAAGCTCCAACACACACACACACAGAACATTCTTTTTCCAAGAAGAGAATCTAATGTTTCCCTTCCTCTGACAAGACTCTCAAGACTACCGAAGCCAGGGTTCAGGGACATATTGCTTCACAATGCAGGAAAACAACAAGCCTAAGGCATGCGGCTTGGTGCGTGCCTACTAAGCAAGATGCCCTGGGTTCCATTCCTAGCACCAAATAACTAGGCCTGTAATCCCAGTACTTGAGAGGCAGAGGCAGAAAAGCCAGAAATTCAAGATCATCCTTAGTTACATAGGGAATTTAAAGCTAGCCTGGGCTATATGATCTGAGACCCTGTCTCAAAGTAAAAGAAAATGAAATGTGGGCAGGAGACAAATTCGAGAAGTGACAACTTCTACACTGAAGACTTTATTGCAGGCCACTGGAGTGTGGCTGAGGGAGGGAGGGTTGACGTGTGCAAGGCCCTGGATTCACCCCCTGAAATGCAAAGTACAAACAATTATGTAGGGGGTGCTGCGCTGCAGAGACGGCTCGCAGTTAAGAGCACCGGCTGCTCCTGCAGAGGACCTGGGTTTAGCTCCCAGCATCCACACGTTAGCTCACGACCATCTGTAACTCCAGGATCAGGATCAGGATCCAGGGGGCCCTTCCGGCCTTCTTAGATATTAGATACCAAGCACACACATGGTGCACAGTCATAAATGCAGGCAAAACATTCATACACATAAAAATACAAATTTTGAACTAAAAAAAAAAAAAAAGGCAAGATTTTACGTTCAGCTTGCTCCTCTTCCAGAAACAGTGACAAGTGGAGAATCTGTTTCCTCTTGTGCTGCCCCTGGACTGGTACATTTCATATGTTGGTGTTCAAGACACCACCTCCACCACCACCAGTACACCATCCCCTTGCACAGAGTTTCTTCTGGGGATACCATGGGGCAGGAAGAGTGTGACTCTAGCTGAGCATTGATAACCTCTTCCCCTCTCTCATCCATTCATGTCTATTGAACACAGGTCTGGGTCAGACACAGGGGCGTAACACTGAGCAAGGAAAACTCAGACCTGCCCTTCTGGGGCTGACAGCGCTGCAGGAAAGCAATGGTCTCGCACCAACTTCCAGGCTTTACAGTCAGGGAGGGTAGGTGTATACAGTGATAACAGCCTGAACCCAAGGCTTGGTGGGTTCAGAGGAGGAACCTGGGGGAAGACTTGGGGTGAGCTGGCAGGATGCGCAGGGTATTCCTAGGCTAAGTGAGGGCACATCTGCATGCCCAGCTCAGCTATCTCTTAAGTTCGAGATAGGATGGGGTGGCTGAGGTAGAGGGCCAACACATTTTTGTATTGTCAGGAGCACTGGTGGCTTCAGGATACAGCAAGGCCTCAGACATAAGCTTCTCATTAAGAACCCAGGCCAGTGTCATCCTTGTAGGTGTGATTCTGGGTTAGCAGTCTCTCTCTCTCTCTCTCTCTCTCTCTCTCTCTCTCTCTCTCTAGTGTGTGTGTGTGTGTGTGTGTGTGTGTGTGTGTGTGACAGCCAGTGCTTACAGAACCCAGAAGAGCTTCTCAGATCCCCTGGATCTGGAGCTATAGGTGGTTGTGAGTCTCTGGGAACTGTACTTGGGTCCTCTTAAAGAACATGCAGCTCTCTTAACGGCTGACTCATCTCTAGCCCCTTAGAATGAGCTGTGACTTTTTTTTGTGTGTGTGACAAGTTTCCCCCACTGAACCTGAAGCTCACCAAACACTAGACCAGAGGTCTGGCTGTCTCTGGACCCTCCCCTGCCCAGGACGAGGGTGAGAGACATGCACCACCGCAGCTGCCTCCTATATAGTGGCTCTAGAAATACAAAGGTGGCAACAGCCGCTTTAACCACTGAGCCATCTCCTCGGCCTCTGCTCACAGCCCTCATGTATCAAATGGTGAGAGGAGGACCAGGAAAGAGGATAAAATATCAGAGGGTAAGAAGGAGAAGAAGGACCTAGTGGGAAGTCTCTGGCTCCGTGCCGTCAGTCCTCCGAGCAGAGCTGCCCGCTGCCCCTCAGGGAACTGGTGGCAGAGAGACCCTTTGCTTCCAAAGGCAGTTGAAACATCTCGGGAAAGTGAGTCTCTGGGCCTTGGGCACCCAGTGGAGGGTCACCCAGCGGCTCGTTCTTCGTCCTCACAGTCTCCAGGAGGCATTCTGATCATGGAGTTCTGTCCCTGGTGGCTGGCTATTAGCCGATTTTGCCTTTTAAAAATAGAAGCATTTTATTGCTAAGTGTGTTTCCATAATAGTAATAGCAGGCACAGCTTTACAAAATGTTTAACATTGTGCAAAATAACTTTCCATGTTGTTATAACATCACTGTAAAAAATAATTTTTCTGCTGGGTGTGGTGGCACACGACTGTAATCCCAGAGCTCAGGGAGGCAGAGTCAAGTGTATCTCTGTGAGTTTGAGGACAGTCTGGTCTACAAAGTCCAGGACAGCCAGAGCTGCACAGAAAAACCCTGTCACAAACAAACAAACAAAAATTCCCTCCTCCAAGAAGAATATTCTGTGGGGTGTCGTGGCACACTCCTACAGTCCAGCCCCTGGGTAGGCTGAGGCAGAAGGAGCACAGGCCTGAGGCAGGCCGGGAAAATTAGTGAAACCTTAGTTACTACTGTTATCATTAAATATTTATTTATTCTTAGGTTATATGATGGCCTTTCCTGCATGCATGTGCATTGTGTGCATGCAGTACCTGTGGAGACCAGAAGAGGGTGCCAGATCCCCTTGAACTCAAGCTAGAGCCAGTTGTGAGCTGCTATGTGGTGCTGGGAACCAAAACCTAGACCTTTGTGAGCAGCCAGTGCTTTCAGTTTTTAAAATTATTCTTTATTTTATGTGCGTGTGTGGTTTGCCTGCATGTATGTCTGTGCACCACTTGGGTGTTCCTGGTGCCCTTAGCAGTCCGAAGAACGTGGCAGGTCTCCTGGAAGTGGAGTTACAGAGCTGCCATGTGGATTCTGGGAATTGACCTTGGGTCCTCTGGAAGAGCAGCCAGTGCTCTCAATCAGAGCCATCTCTTCAGCCCCGAAAGTGCACTCATTGGCGGAACCATCTCCCCAGCACTTAAACCTTGCTTTAAAATACATAACCATGGGTGATGACACTGGAGAAGGGCAAAGGCACTTGCTGCCAAGCCTGACGACCTGGGTTCCAGCCCTGGACCCCACAGAAAGGTGAAAGGAGAGAACCAATTTCACAGAGTCGTCTTCTGACCTCCGCACACATCTCCATCACATACATGCACACGAGAAAATTTAAAAATGCACGTGGCTTCGTAACACTGAAAAATAAAAGATCATTTTGAAATGAAAAAAGACGTGGCTGTGGCTGCATGTCTGATCCCAGCACTCCGGCGACAGTGGCAGGAGGACAGACCACAAGGCCAGCCAGGACAGAAGATGGCTTCCTCAGCTGCTCCCCACCTTAGTTTCTGAGGGCACCCCACTGACTGGCGCTCACCGCTTTAGCTAGGCTGGCTGGCTACGGAGGTTTGGGCACCCGCTTGTCTCCCTCATCAAGAGTTACAAGCACATGCCACCATACCCATCTTCCTCATGTGTGTCCTGGGGATTCAAACTTGTGCAGTAAGTAATTCAGTCACTGGGACATCACCCCGGCCAGAACAGTATTTTTTAAAATCAATCTGTTTATCTATCTATCTATCTATCTATCTATCTATCTATCTATCTATCTATCATGTATACAATGTTCTGCCTACATATATGTCTATACACCAGAAGAAGGCACCAGATCTCATTACAGATGCTTGTAAGCCACCATGTGGTAGCTGGGAATTGAACTCAGGACCTCTGGAAAAGCAGCCAGTGCTCTTAACCTCTCTCTCCAGCCATCTCTCCAGCCCCCCAGAATAGTATTTTTATTTGTTGGTTGGGTTTTCTGTTCTTGTGTATGTCTCTCTCTCTCTGTGTGTGTGTGTGTGTGTGTGTGTGTGTCTGTGTGTGTGTGTATCTGTGTGGTATGTGCGTTCTTGTGGGTATGGGGGGGCATGCATGGTGTGAGGGTGGAGATCAGAGGACAGCCTTAGGTACAGGTCCTTTTGTTTGACACAAGGCCTGTTACTGGCCCGGGCTTCCCCACAGAGGTCAGGCCAGCTGACTCCAGCTTCCTGGGATCTGCCTTCCTCTGCCTCTTATCTTAACATCACCTGATTTATACACATGAGCTCTGGAGGTCTGGGGCAATCACCTTTACCGGCTGAGCCATTTCTCCATCCCTGGTATTTTTTAAGTGACAGAAGATACAGAGGAGGCAGTGGAAGAGGTTGGAGTGCTGGACCTTGGCCCAGAAATGCCAGGAGCCACCAGAGCCTAGAGGAGGAAGCAGGATGGAGCCTGTCCTAGAACCTTTGGAAGAAGTCAATACCTTAGCTTTGTATTTCTGTCCTTTAGAACTTTGAGAGAATAAATTTCTATTGTCCAACCCCCAAGCTTGGGTTGATTTGTAATAGGAGCCTCAGAATATGAGCACAGGCCTCAAGGCATTCTTGGGCACTCCTGCAAGAGATGGAAGAGCCATGGAACAGTTCAGCTGACTCATACTATAAGACAA